GAACCTAATAACAGGTCATTTAAAATTACAATATATCTTGCTCCCTCAAAAAGTATTATTCACAAGTATGATGTAACTAAATAACTCACGTTCTCAATGAACTGGGTATTAGACAGCATAAGAAAGTCATTGAAGACATTATGCAGGCGACAATCTGTGGCTTTAGTTTCCCGAATTAGTCCATCCACTTGTTTCTTGATTTCATGAGTCCTAGAGATAGTCTGTTGTGAGAATTCCTGTAGAAACTGTAGTAGCTATTTAAAGAATAAACACACAGTATTATCAGTATCATATGCTTCTCTTCTGTATCAAGACAATAAAGAACCCACCCATACACTTTCACCTTTGAGTGTGTTGTAACGTATAATAAAAGGGATGCTGCTTTTAACAGTACCAAGACCAGGTGGTATTGAAAAACACTAAGAAAGTTCATCGAAAGAGTGGCAACGAGTCAATGGACACTCGCTGTTTCTGGAGGAATTCTAAAGTCCTGTTTGGTGTTTGTTCTACAGCGATCCCAGACGAAGGGTAAGATGACCAACCGCCACTCTTATCCAAAAATCCTATTCACAGGGGACTTCGGAATTACAGTTCTGAGCTTTTTGGGGCCCCCGTTTTGAAGTCTCACTCAAAGATATCCACATACGGGCTCTTCTCCCACCCCACAACCAACACCGAGGAATCCCTCGGTGCTGCGGAAACGGAACCGTCCCTCAGGATGGAGGTGAGAGCACCGCTAGGAAACTCAAGCAATGAAGAGACCCAGGTGCGAGCACTCAGTGGGTTGAGGCCCGGCCCGCCCCTCTCCCTGGTGACTGGGACTGCCACGGTGGAGTTTTCGAGAACAACGAGGGAACGTTCGTTCTTAACAAGAGAGCGGGAAGCCTGCAGGGAACTCGGGGCTCCAGTCCTCCCGCCCTCAGGCCGCGCGTCTCCCCCGCGGCCCGCGCTCCCCTCGCGTCCCCGGGGCCCGCCTCTCACGCCTGCGTCGGCCGCCAGCGACCAGTTCTGGCTGCTCCTGCGGATCTCCTCCACCGACCAGGGCCGCTCCCACACGGGCTCGGAGGCCGGCGCCCGCTCCTGATCGGGGGTCGTCCGGTTCATCTGCAGCGGGGAAGGATGAGAAGAGGGGCTGAGCGCGGGGGCGGCGGCGGCGGCCCGGCCCGGCCCTGGCCCTCGGCACTCACCATGCCGGCGGCGACGCCCGCAGCAGCCGCGGACTGCAGAGCTCCGGAAGCCCAGCCCCTGCCGAGCGCCCGGGCTCACGTGGCTCGTCGTCACGTGACCGGGCCCGCACGTGACCGGGCGTGCTGCGCGGCGGGGAGGGAGGCGTGGCTGTGGACTGGGACGGGAATGTGGAGTGGTCCGCCGGGCTGGGGCGGAGAAAGCGGCGCGAGTGGGGCCGGCCGAGAGCGCTGAAGGGGTGGGCAGGCAGCTGTGGCTTCTCCCCGAAGCCGGCGGCGGCGCGTGACCAGCCCCGGGACAGGCAGCCACCCCGGCGCGTCTGGAGAGAGGGGCCCTAAAGCAGCCAATGGAGCAACCAGCCTGAGAGCTTTAGAAGGCGAGCGACGTGGAAGGAGGAGGAGGCCTCCCCTGCCGTGCCTCTTGGTGCAGTCCGCTGCCCGTGAGGAAGCTGGCTCACGTGCGCTCAGGGAATGGAGAATCACCGGCCTGCCTGGGCATCCATGCTCTGGGCGACCTGCTGGGCCTCAGCTCGCTGTGTAGGGCCTGCCTAAAATCCTTTACTCGGCATTGCCCTCGGAGTCAAGGCCAGACTTCTCATTAATGGACAAGCATAAAACTCTTTATCATCCTTCCTCCGCTCTCCTCGCTCCCCGCTAGCGCTGTGATCCCGCTGTTCTCTCTCGGGCTTCCTTTGAGTTCCCTGTACTGAGTCGCTCTTGTGCCAGACCAGCTTACTTTTAAAGTAAAAATCCCAATTTATTTCCGTTCGTGTGTGCCCAAGGACGAATTAACTTTTCCTAGCTTTCCTCCTCAGCAAAACGAAGATACGTATCCTGTAGGGATGTGATATTAAATGTGATAATATTTATAAAACAGCTAGCAAGGCGCCTGGCTTAGGTGAGCTTTCAGCCTAGGTCTAACCACTTCCGCCATGCGCCAGCTTGTTTGTCCAGATTTTGGACTTTGTTTTGTAGTCACCTCAGTTGTCACCTCATTGAAGACTTCCTCGAGTATCCCAAGTACAGTTTAGGTGACTTGTCAGTTATTTTCTATATGTTTCTACAGTATTTATCCTTAAGTATTACATTGTGTTGTAATCATTTATTTATATATCAGTCTCTCCTTTAATAATAATAACTAACTTTTATGAAGTGCTCAGTATTTACCAAAACCTAATACATATTAGTTCATTTAATTCTCACAATGACCCTACGAAGGAGGGCCTATTATCCCCAAGTTACAGTTAAGGAAACTGAGGTACAGAAAGTGTAAGTAATTTTACTCAAGGTTAGACAACCAGTACAGAAACAGAACCAGGAACCCACACTGTGAGCCAATATATTATTACATTGAGTAACATTACATTAAGTGTGAACACTAAGGCCAGAGTCTTAGTGTCATAAGGGAACTTCATTTTCAAGTTGCCATTTACCAACCTCCTAGCCATTCCCCTACATTCATTAAAACAAAAAACACTTTAGAACTTACTTGGTAAAATTGAGTTGAACCAGTTACCAAGCTCACATCTCACCTAACATCATCATGGGCAACTTCAGTGGCCATGGGCTCAACCAACTTAATCTACATGCAACACCCTAGACCTCATCCCTGAAACTTTCTAAGTCTCAGCTGCAATAGAGTTTAGACTTCTAAGTCTATTCTAGATGTATGACTTCTAAATCTAAATAAGCTGCAATAGAGCAACTTCTTAAACTTTCAGATCTCTCTCCTACTCCCTAGTCCATTGTGTCTTACCAACCCAAGCCTCAGTCCCTCAGTGTTCCTCTTCCTCTCCATTCTACCTCCTTAGTTGTATCCCCTTGCCTGTTATACCTAGATCCCATTGATACTAACTTTCACCTTCTCTTGACAGCCCCTTTAATATCCTCAGCTTATGTTTTTGACTCGTAGACTATGCTAGCTCCTTACTTTGAATCAGCCCGACATAGGCCCTTTCTTCTTTCCTGCACTAGGTTACTGAAGGAAATCACAATACACTGATGTTCTGAAAACTTAGCTGGACCTTCAATACTGACTAGTAAACCTTTTTTTATCCTTGATATTTAGACTTATCTTGGATCAGCTTCCTTCCATAATTTCAACACATTGTTCAAACTATCCCCCCACTTGCCTCTACTGGAGATAACAGACCCCACCCCCACCTCATAGTTAAAATGTTTCTATGCCTACACTTTCTGCATCCTGTACAGTTCTTTATTTGCACAAAACAGAATTTGACTGGCAAACTCAAACAAGATAGAATCTTGGGGAAAGATACTACAGAGCTCACAGGACTTAAGTAAAAAAGCTAAGCGGACAGGTCTTGTGAAGGGATAAACCAGAGAAACTTAGGACAGTCTCCTTTGAGGCAGTGCCCTCAGAATGACTCAGCTCCAGTCATCTCCCTCCTTGTTTCTCCTCTGTAGTTTTAAATTCTTGAGAGAAAAATAATCTGATTGGCTTCCCTTAGGTCATATTTCCACTCTTCTGTTGGCACCAGGAGCACATAAAAGGAAGAGAAGTGGGTTCCCCTCCCCTCCCCTCCTTAGGGAGAACTAAAATCGGGAAAGGGATGGTAGGCAAACAAAAACAACAGCTTACATGCTCCTTTAACTCCTTTCTTCCAGTCTCTGGAAAAGCAGTCCCCACTCTTGCCCAAGGCCAGTGACTACCATGTGCTTGATCAAGCACTACCTGCCTCCCCTGGGATGGCGCTCCATCTCGAGTTCCTCTTCCCGTGTGTTCAATCTTGCTCTCTTTACTGATTCTTCTCCCACAGACTTTTTCAAATGTTTTAAAGTCATACTTTTTTATTGAATTTGTTCATGTTAGAGAGTTCTTGTACTGGCTTGACCATGTCTGAGAATTCAGATAAATCTACCCATCATACAATATATCGAAACTTGATTCACGTACATTTTGATGAGTTCACAATCTTTTGAATAGTTATAACAAGAGTTGAAATTTTAAACTTGCTGCACGTCTTTCAATTTTTGGTACTTAATGACATTAAATAGCACTTCCACATATTTAAATCTCAGTTTATTCCTCAGTAATACAATCTCCAACGAGATTTTGCAACGAAAGGTATGTACTTTTCAGGGAAAAATACGTGGCTCAATATCTAAGAGATTATTTGTTAAGATTTTTGATTTTCCAATGAAATCTTCAGTTTAACCAAGAATCCTTTGTTTTTATTTTAAGTATCCAACCTCCCCTTGGCTCAGCTACTCACCCAAATACATCAGAAGGCAGGCATCTTGCCTGCCACCCAAAATGATGCCAATGACATTGCCCAGAAGTGGTTGGCAGGTCCTAGTAGGAGACACTGCAATCCTCCTGAGAGTCTGATTCCTGCAGTGACAATTTAATCAACACTAAACTACTGTAGGAAATGCTCCCACAATTCTCTCGCAACAAGATTGTTTTACACATTCGCTTCACTCCATTTAGTAGCAAGTTTTCAACTTCTGCATTTGGCAAAAAGATTTATTATAAGTATACAATATTTAAACGCCAAATAAATATTTATTGTATATAAATTTTTCTCCTCTTTTATGTTTTACAAAAAAGTTGCAAAAATAGTGCAAAGAATTCCCATATTTCTTTTACCTTATTTCCTCAAATGATTATATCTTACATAAACACAGTACAATTGAAACCAGAAAATTAACAATGATACATTATTATTATCTAATCTGCAGACCTCATTAAAGTTTTATCACTTATTACATGCCCTTTCATGGACCAAACAGTGCATTTGTCAGGTCTCCTTAGTCTCCTTTAATCTGGGACAATTCCTTTGTCTATCTTTTTCATTCATGATCTTAACTCTTTTGAAGAGTATTAATCAATTCTGTTGTAGAATGTCACTCAGTTTGGGTTTGTCTGTTTCCTCATGTTTAAATTCATGTTATGCATTTTTGACAAGAATACAATGTGGAAAAAATCAATATGCAAGAATAGTTAGGAAAACACTCAAAAGGAAAACTTGAGGGGACTAGCCTTACCAGACATGAAAACATACTATAAAGCCTCTATAATTAAAACAGAGTAGTACTGGTACATAAATAGACAAACAGGCTAATTTATAATAGGATAGAAAACCCCAAAATAGGCCCACATACATTTGGAAATTTAGTACACTGATAAAGGTGGCATCTCAAGCCACTTGGTCACAAACAGACTTTAAAAATGATGTCCACACAACTGGATAGCCATTTGGAAAAAGGTAAAAGTAGATATATATTAACACTTACATAAAAGTAAACTCCAACTGCATTAGCAGTAAAAACTGGATTAGATTAGTAAAAAATGAAGCCATGCAAATATTAGCAAAAACCATGAATGACTTCCTCTTTAACCTCAGTGTAGGGAAAGTCTAACTATGATTTAAAATCCAGAGACAATAAAAAGAACTAATAGATTTGAATGCATGAAAATAAAACATTTTATGGCAAACAAAACCCTACCATAAACAAAGTCAGAAGACAATTGACAAGCCAAGCATGGTAGCTCATGCTTATAATCCCAGCACTTTGGGACGCTGAGACAGGAGGATCATTTAAGGCCAGAAGTTCAAGACCAGCCTGGGCAACATAAGAAGACCTCTACAAAAAAAATTTTTTTTTTAATTTAGCTATGCATGGTGGCTCATGCCTGTAGTTCCAGCTACTCAAGAAGCTGAGTCTGGATTGGTTGAGCCCAGGAGTTTGAGGTTGCAGTAAACTCTGATGACACCACTGTACTCTAGTCTGGATGACAGAGCAAGACTCTGTCTCAAAAAAAAAAAAAAAAAGACAATTGACAAACTGGAAGAAAAGAGATAAAAATGGTCCTTAATATATGAGAAGCTATTCAATATACAAAATCAAAGAAAATCAGGCTGGGCATATTGGCTCATGCCTGTAATCCTAGCACTTTGGGAGGCCAAAGCAGGAGGATCACTTGAGGCCAAGAGTTTGAGAACAGCCTGGACAAAGTATTGAGAACTCATCTGTTCCAAAAAATAGAGCAATCAGCTGGGCATGGTGGCTCAAGCCT